TTCGTCCAAAATTGTGAAGTTTGAGGCCTCAGGGTAGGAGGTTCTGTGCGAGAGGGGGATGTTTGATTAAATGGTGAAAATGTATTATTTCTTTTAATTTTTTTCTCTTCTTCTAGGTATTGGTAAAGTAAAATTGATGTATACATGTAGTTATGATTAGAAAGGATACATCTTTCAAAATTGGGAATGTCATGGCCACTATGTATTTTGGAGATCAGGTCTTCCAACAATCTATTGGAATTCCCAAAGGCACCAATTGCGCTCCCTTAGCAGACCTTTTTGTTTTCATATGAAGCAGAATTTATTCCAGAACTTCTTCATAAGAAGAAGAAAACACTTGCTGTGGCCGTCAACTCTACATTTCGATATATCGTCGACGTATTATCAATTAACAATAACTACTTTCATTTATATGTCGACTCGATATATCCCAGTGAGCTTGAAATAAAAGATACGACAGATTCTGACACATTTGTTTCTTATCTAGATTTTTACTAGAAAAAGGCGTTAATGGTAACTTAACAAGAAAGCTTTCTGATAAACGCAATGACTTCAATTTTTCAATCATCAACTTCCCTTACTTATGTAGCAATATGCCCTTATTACTTCCATATGGGGTTTATGTCTCTCAATTGATTCGATACCCAAGAGCATGCTCTACGTATGAACAATTCTAAAACTAGGCAAGCTATTGACAAACAGGTTGATGAAACAAGGATATCAACAGTCTCGTTTGAAGTCAACATTTCGGAAGTTTAACGGTCGATACAATGACCTTTCAAAGCACATTCAACCTATCATCGAGTCAATTGCTGACTGATGTTTTCCATACCAATTTTAGGCTGAACTGTTTACGGATTTTTCCGGATTTTTTTTTCGATCATGACAAGGAGCCTCTAAATTTTGAAGTCCGTGTTTGCTCTGCTCCAAATTTGTATCGCTTCATTGGACTTTTGAGATTGAATACTGTTCGTTATCTTCATATTTCACTCTAGGTCAGGGGCTATTGTGTTAGGGCGTTGTTCTATTGATGATTTAGTGAAAATGCATTAATTCCTTGAAACTTTTCCTCTCTGTTCCTAGATATTTAGCAGATTCTCATGGTTATGATGAGCGTGAGTGCCTCTTCAAAAATTTTGAAATTTGTGATGCCAATTCTGGACCACTTGGTCAAGCACTCTGGTACTGGACAGTGTTCTTTTTTGTATTCTACTGAGAGAACGTATTTCCCTTTTTATTCATCTTTAATAATTAGTCACAGTAAATAATGCTATTAAAAAATCATTCAAATAAGAGAGTTATCCACGAGTTTATACAACATATAATACAAAAAGTACTTCCATAGATTTTAATGGTCAAATAGACTTGTAGATAATAGATAAATGAAAAGGAGACAATTATACTTTATCTCTGTATATTAGATGTTTTTCAAACTTCAAGAAAGTCCAGTATATAAGAGTACTAGATGGGCCTACTAATAGCGCTTAAGCACTATCGCTTTGTTCAGTCTGCATGGTGATTGTGACAAATTAGGGCAAGTAAGACAAGTACATAGGTTTACTTTAAGATCTGTTATCTGTTACTGAATACTAGACTAATTATTTTGTTGACCTTTTATCATCCTTTTTCTCTTTCCATTTTGGAACACAGCTTTATCTATCAATTGATTTTGTTTTATGTCATACTTCTATGGATCAGTTTTGTATTATAATGCGCTCCTTGGGTCTCTTGTTTCTCAAGTCGTTTGATGTATTTTAAAAATGACAACCATAGTTGTGTCTTTTTATTACACATTTCTTAGTGGTTTTTATTCGTATATTTTTTTGAGTGTTTAACATCCGAAGAGTTATCGTACTTATGCTCTAAAAATAACTGCTGTTCAGGCATCTCAACTGTTTGGTTGTCCTAAAAAAACTCTAAGTTAAATTAATTCCACTATTCTCTCTATAGGCATTTAAGAATTTTAAATCTAATTACACGACAATCAATATATAATAATTTCAGCAGCTTCAATTACAGATACTTATGCATTTACGTAGTTGGCAATGCAACAATACAGTGTTACATGGAGAGGAGTTTTTATTGAGCGTGTTCTACTTCCGTCACTTGGCATAACCGAAAACATTATCATGATCATTATCTTGAAAAAAAAATACTTCTAACCATGTTTATGTCAACACTTTTGAAACTCTTGCTGTGAAACTATTAAAGGAGCTTGTCATGTCATTGTTTAAGAATATGGCTGAAGAAATTCTATTTATACAAGAGCTTTCAGATGCACTAGGTTTCTTTAATGGCAAAATTGCTTCATCTTTATGACAAACTTCAGGGTTTTTGGATGACCAAATTCCTGATACATGTAAGCATAACTTTTCATCTGTGTTTTTCAGAAATTATTTCAATAGACTTACCTTCATGGAAAAAATGATGTACTGGTCTGAATATTTTTCACATTGGTAGAAAAGGATTGTGATCGTTTTAAGGTTGATATAGAGGAATAGTATAGTTTAAGTTGTTTCAGGATATGCATGTATTTCCAAACATTTAATACCGAAATGTTTCCTAAAAATATTTTGAAAGAAATACTATTTTGATTTGTATATTAAGACTGCATCACCGCTGCTCTTCACGTAAATTTAACATAAACAATCTGACATAAATTTTGAAATCTGGGTCTCGGAGCATTAATGAATTTTCCAAGTTCCAAATTACAAATTACAAAAATACCCGATGTACTGTTCGGCAGTAAATTATACGTCAAAGAATTGAATGTATATTTGTAATACATTTACATATACCTATAATTTTCATTTTCATGCTTCGTGATCAGGAGGCCCGGGTTCGATACTTGTTCCCGGCGCAGCTTCAAAACCAAAACGTAAAGATAGGAAATGACTGTTCCTTCCCTGCCGCCCGGCTGTACAGGTTAAAATTACGGGTCTTTCGGATGAGACCTTATAGACCGAGGTTCCGTGTTTCAGTAGGTGTTGTCACGATAAAGAGCCCTCGCTGCTCAAAAGACACGAATGTCGAGTATATGTCTAAGTTAAAAGCGCTTCACTGGTATATGGTGACGTCTCTACCTGAGCGAAAAATTCAAATTGGATGTACAACAAACAATCAATAAATCAATCAATCAGGCATTAATATACCCGGTGGTTATTGTTAAATTTATAGAGTTTTTAAGCCAGTCAAAAAGCGGAGAGCAAGGTGAAAATAGGAAAAAAAATATGATTCTTTTTCTTTGTTTCATCTCATTTATATATATTGTACGTCTTGAGTTTGTTTATTAATATATCTGATCTTTTCTCGAGAGGTGTTGCTATTTATTTGGCAGTGAACTACTTAGTATTTAAAATGTAAACGTGTGTTTTGTAATTTTACTAAACATATTCTTTGTACCTGTATGTCTTATTTATTGTATAAAATAACCACTGTTTTTGGTGACCTCAACTGAAAGCTCGTAAGATGATTTGATCATGTCTTGTCATGTATCAATCGTTCTGTAAACTTTTCACATTTTCGACCTCTAGCCAAGAATCCGTAGGCCAGAAAATAAAATGTGCTTGAACATTTCATTGCATAATTTAGATAAAAGTCTATTCAAAACATGACCTCGATGTATGGTTGGGCAAAAATGCGCCGTCAAGGTTTTTCATTTGAATGTATAAGGAAAACAAATGAAAAACTTCTCACGAACCGTTACACAGAAGAGTTGAAATTTATTAGAAAGCTTTATTACTTGGGGTAGATTTAAATTTCAGTGTAGTTACATTAGAATATATAGGAAAACATCTTTTTAAAAGTCTTCTAAGAAAAGTCATGATAATTGTATTGATAAGGAAGCATCGTCAAGCAGTGTGTATTCAAGTTTGTTCAATCATGACCCCCATGAGCGGGGAGGGCTCACAATTGAAGATCAGGCTTTTCAGTGGAATGTTTAGGAAAAATCTTACTATTTGTTATTTTCATCTTTTACACTTCTTAAGAACAACAAATGAATACATCATAGTGTGTGGGAGCACCTTCAGGTTGTGTGGCTTCAAGTTTGTTTAAATTATGAATCAAAGATGTACGCTGAGGCCACAATGGACGATAAAAGTCTTACAAATAAAGTCTTCTTCTTAGTTGCATATAGATATGGAAGAAGGTAATAAAGAGCACAGCTCTTTTACATTTTTCAATCTCAGAATTGCTTAGCCTTTACTTCTCATAACTACTCAATTACGACGACACTGCATTACGAAAAGACAGAGGCAAAAGAAAAATCATAGAAAAAATTTTAAGCAGAATATTCAAATATGAAGGTTAAGATCAAGGTCAACATTAAATCGTCATTGCAGTCATATTTGTTTATTATCTTTTATCAGGTATCTCATCTCCTTCTTCATGTTACGTCATATGTTTTTGTAAAAATATTTATGATTCCTATATCGATGTATATTTCAATCAAATATAGCAATTGCTTTCAAAACAGCTACGTTAAAAATATGGTTTAGAAAAACAGTCTTAAATATATATATTTTTCTGTAATTACCATACGCTAAGCCATTCTTTCAAAGAAAGTGCAAAGTGAACTAAGTCTTACTTACGTTTATACACTTTATTATTTCACATTATCAAACATTAACTTAAAATCAACAATTTATACCTATTTTTGAAGATGATAGTTATTTGAAACTGCGGATATTATTTTTTTTAACCAGTTTTAGAAGTCATAACTAATTCTTCTTACCAGTTATATTATACGTCCGAAACCTTTAAAATAAGGTTGCAACCTATACATTTTCTGTTTTTATAATAAAGATTTAATTATGTTATGTGGAATTTAATGCCCATCTTCTACTCAAAATAAGTGTGAAGGTAGGAAATGTTTTACACTGAATAATAAGCGCAAAAACTATATTGGATTAAAAAGGCTAAAAATGTTCAGTTGTATTTTTCATATTTTACGAAGCAAGCACAAAAACGGATAAGTATTTTCAATATATATTTTAATTAGACCCTTTTTTTTTTCAGATGAGTGCACTACTTTTTGACCAATTTACAAACTTCAAACTGGAATCGCCGATCCCTGAAAAGAAACGTTTTACATGAAAAAAACTATACATGTATATGGTGTAAGTATATTCTATTCTCAAAGTGTGATGCAAAACATCTTTACATAAAGACATAGTAAAAACACAACTATTCTGCTTATCATAGAGTGCAGAATGGATGGAAAATGTCTATATCATAATTAGTTTACGCTCACTCATAATGATTGTGATGGACACTGTTGACACCACGCAGAACATGACCCTTTGGTACGAAATATACAACAGGTTGGTCATAATTATTCACCCATCCTGTCCAACGACACTCTTTGTATTGATAATCTGCAAAGAAGAAGCATCGGAAATGTATAATACGAATCCTATAATGAACCAACATAATGTCATGGACTGTCATGTAGACACAACACGATTTTCCAGTTTGAAAATGTACACTGTAGGAACAAAGAACATTAAAGCTTCAAAACTTAAAAAAGAATATTTTCAATTGTTCTGGCAAATATAACGGATCGCATTTCTCTGTGAAAATGTGGTTAACTTTGAATAAAAACATATGTTTATTTCTAGTGCAGTGTAATTCTTTTCTGATGGGTATTTAACGTACTTAAACTTCGGGGGCCGCAGCAACGGAATCTATGGCGTCTATCTTCATAAGCATTGTGGTGATAGCTTGCCATACCGTTGATGTACCCTGCACCCGGACACCGGTAGTGGACTGCGTGGTCAAAGTCGTTGACGTATCCTAAAAGTTGTATAAGATGAGAATGATGAAGATAACAAACAATAATCAATCTCAAAAATATTGTTAACAATACGAATCCTGAACAAGGCAGAAACACGGGCCCCTGGAAACACCAAGGGTTGCAGGTGTCCAGGAGGAGTATATCTTTGAATTAAAGAAACTGTGATCCAATTCAAAATCCGTTAAACCAATAAAATCTCAGATCCAGTTGTTGAATCAGGTACCATTGAAGTGCAATCACACAATGATATACCAATAAGCATGGAAAACGTCAGGCATCGTCGACCTAACGACAGATTGTATATGCAGACAAGTTCAACACAACGCCATATCATTTCATTTTCAAATTTATCATACACAGAGTATGTTCTTGGTAATTGAATCATTTGCAACATTAATATTTACTCATATTCACAAGGTGATTAGTCAAACATGAAAAAGACCTTGATACTTAGTCAGAATGTTTTAAAAGCATCAAATTGATGTTAAAATCTCGCATGAATGGGCAGTATGCAATTGAGGTGAAGTATGAATACCATCTATCTTCTGTTTTTATGAATTCAAAGTAAAAAAAAGAATTAGATAGATTACATGATCAATAGGTCATTGCCCCAGCTGACACAGCGGGTAACAACATAGTTTCTGTTTTGAAGGTTCATTATTTTAAATGTTTTTTTTTAGAGGAACTTGGATTAAATTCAATTCTGTAAATGTTAATCCAACCTTTACTCATAGTTCTTTTTCTCAGGAGGAGATTTTTCAAAATCATATGTCAGTTTTAAATATTTTTGATGTTCCCAACATTCAGACTGAATTTTAATTACCATACCTATACTGAATTCCTGAACTCAAAAAAATACATAACAGGTTCCAGTTAATGTTCTGTCAAGCATTTTTCTTTACTCCTCACTAAAATATTAACATTAGTGAAGGAGAAACTTCAAAAGTGCTGTACGACACATATTCGAGAAGTGGTGAAATCTCTATCAGGATGATTCATTTACTCTCTCTCTCTCTCTCTCTCTCTCTCTCTCTCTCTCTCTCTCTCTTATAACAGGTCAGGGGGTTTTTTAGAACACTTTTCGTGAAGGGAAGAAGAAACTCAAGTTTTGCCGCACTTCTGATAATCATATACACTGTGAAAATACTATTTTGATATTCTTTCAAACTGTGCCAGAATGTCGATTTTATTAAATAAATAAAATACAGTATTTCACTGTTGAAAATGTAATAAATAAGTGTATACAATTTAACATGCTTCACAGTCATTAATTGATCTTATCATTGATATGGTATTCTTGATACAATAATTAGTGTAAGATGAATATAAGTATTAACGTTCAAGGAAATTCGACTAAAAACATTAATTCCTTTCTAACGTGTATCAATTTTACATGAAACTCATGAATAATATAAAATGTTTACCTGTCCAATGACAGTTTATATCCTTCTCTTGTTTTAGAGCTGTACCACAATGGAGTTCGTATCTTCTGTCTTCGTAATGGTTGTGGTGAAATGATACTATTGCATCAATAAACTCAGTTGGGGATCGACAACTGAAGTTTAGAGCACCATCCCATTTATTTTTGAAACTTAAAACATCTTTAAAAGCCAGGACCAAACACATAGAAAATAAAATCATTTGATGTATTTCTCTTAGATCTACCATCTGAAAATTAAGATTTTTTATATGTTACATATATAAATATAAAATAAAATGTGTATACATAGAATATAGACTAAACCTTTCAATTGTTTGAAAGAATATAAAAAACGTACCTCTGTCTCAAAATTGCAAAGCTTATAAAGTCCATCTAAATAATAGTTTTTCCAGATTTATATACATGTACACTTTTAACGACCAACGCAGATATTGAAGATAAGCCAAGTAGAAGTGTTTGACAAATAAAGTTATGGTGGAAAACAATTGTAAGTGCTATTAGTATCCTTCATAATTTTATTTCCATGACAAAAGATCAATATCGAGGAACGACATCTTGCTTTATAGTATTCAGAAACACACTGATATAACAGTGTTCAATATTTTCTTTAAAAACGAAGATGTATGTATATTATTTGTAAAAGAAATCATCTAATCAAATCTTGATCTCAATTAGTATTGAACAGTATTACAGACCAACAGTCCAATGTGAATATGTCGACTACATTTAAATTACGGTCTTGAACGTGAATGATTTTAAAAAAACATTATATTCGTTGGAGTTTTAAAAAATAAATCTACAAGCTATATAATAAAAATCACATTTACGAAATCATGTGTCCGTTTTAGATAATTTTAATATTCCCAACAATCAAATTGAATTTACCATACCTCTCCTGGATTCCAAAACTCCATAGAAATCCTTACAAACGAAGATACATAGCGGGTTCCAGTAAATGTTCTACCAAGCCTCTTTCTTTACTCCTCACCAAAACATTTACAGCAGTGAAGGAGAAAGTTCAGGTCAACAGTATATTTGAGAAATGGTTTAAATCAGATCCTGATACTTAAAAACTCAAAAGAACTTTAAAAAAAAAATAGAAATCATAAAATTTTCGAAAAACAATAACAAAAACGCTTTATACAACCATTCCCTAACCCTAAATTAAAGTTCAAGCGTTTGTCATAAACAGTTGCTTTTTCAAAAAAAAAAATGAAACTTGTAAATATACCGACCTTTTCAATGTTCATTTGAAAATAATTTTGTTAAAACATTCTGATTGTATACACAAGTACTCTGCTGTTGATATTACAATGGAAGAGTTTTTGATTGACAATATCTACGTTGTTTTTGGAGTTCAGGTCTTGAACAATCAGTTAGAATTATCATGTGTACCAATTAATAGCGTCCTATTTTTGTATTCATATAAATTTGAATATACAATTTGTTCAAAAAACTCCTACATGAAAAAAAAAAACTCTTGCTGTGGCCTACAGCTCCACATAGGTAAATTGACGACATATCAATTTTCATTCATTTGTCGACTCGATATTTCCCAGTGAGCTTGGAATAAAAGATACCTCAATTTTGGACACATCTGTTTTATAATTGGATGAAATGTGGAGATAAAGAACAGTACACAAGCTCAAGTCCATATTGTACTAGAAAAGGACTTCAATGGTAACGCAACAAGAAACGTGATGACTTCAATTTTTCAATTGTCAACTTTCCTCACTTATGTAGCCATTTACCCTTCCAGCTGATTCTATACACAAGAGCATGCCCTACGTACGAACGATTTCGATTCGAGGCAGACTTTTGGCAAAGAGGTTGGTTAAACAGGGGTGTCGGCAGTCTCGTTTGGCGTCATCATTTTGCAAGTTTTGTGGTTTATACAGTGGCCTTGTGAGCGACTACAACCAATCATTAAGTCAAATGGCTGGCTTTGGCTGACTTGGCCTTGTGAGTGACTACAACCAATCATTAAGTCAAATGCCTGGCTTTGGTTGACTTGCTTTATATCAATTGTTAGACCTTTGTTTGAATTCCGAACGGATAGTTCCTTCTACCTGATCAATACATAGGGCTCATGGCGGGTGTGATCGGTCAACAGGGGCTGCTTTCTCCTCCTATGCACCTAATCCTATCTCTGAAATTCCCATATTTGTATTGTGTATTGATTTTTGGGTGTCGATCACTGTTCGTTATCTTTGTACTTACATACTGACTGACGACATTAATGCTGATAGTTAGGCCATTATATACACACTAAATTGTCTGCTGGTTTTCCGTTTTTCCTGATCATGGAGGCGCTCGGCAGTTGTGTCAGGTTTGCCAGGGGTGCTAGCTCCTCCATGGCGCCTGATCCCTACTCTTATGTGTTTGGAGGCCCCTGTTTGCTCTTCTCCCGATTTGTGTTGTTTGAATGAACTCTGAGCTTGAATACTGTTCGTTATCTCCACGTTTCATTGATATCAATAAAAACTTGGAATGTGATAATACATGAGGCAACCCTTCGAGAACCATCGAGCATGAAAAGCAATTTACGTTTATCCCAAGATAATTTGGTGTTAAATTGAATGCATGAGCACAAATAGCTTAAAACATTTTTTCCGAGACAAAAGTTTTCCCTTACAGCCTCTCCCTTTTCTTTTTAATGTGCACGAGTTAAATGGATCCTTAATTCGTCTCAGATAAGTAAGTTAACTGATAAATCTTGAAACATATATTTATTTGATGGCTAGAAGTTCATATAATACTTCCAAAGTTCAACAAATAGAATATATATAACAAATGCCTAGGTAAAGACATGTTCTAAATAGTTACTTTCTAGATAGTCACGCGGTATGTACATGTATACTTTGACAAAAACTGTACAAAACTGTTCCGACTAATTGTTTTTAGTGTTAATAGAGGGCGTTACTTTTATTCAAATGAGATTAAACTAATAGGTATCTTCATGTAAAAGATAGGAAACCTTATCTAAGGGCGTTTAAAGAAGATAAATTTCAAAATAACAGCATCTATATAATATGATATAGATGTCCTTTTCTTATTTTGAAATTTTTTGCTCGAGTTCGGCGTACACAATAGTGTTCGATATATGCATTTTTTTTTTTACATGCGCGAAAAAGAAAGGTGGCATAAATTTTAAGCTCTTGAGATTTTCAAAAAATAATCACAATCCTGCTTTAATTTTTTTTAAACCCATCCCTCCCTTCCGCTCTCCTCCAACGCTCTTTTGTTATATAATAGGTATTGCTCTTGGTTCTTTTTGCTTGTTTGTTTCAGAACACCAGATATCCTACAATTAAAATATTGTCGTTGGATCTTTGATGGAAGGGAATGAAGTCCAAAGCAACACATCTGAACCCAAGGCATTTTCGACAATCCATTCAATTGATATGTCAAGTTTGTACATGTGACTGTGTATGATATTTTGAAGACATTGAACTGTGAACATTAGCTTGATATTTTTTATTTCTCAAAGTCCAATCAAAAATACAAATTGTGAGTACAGCAAACATGAACCTAGCTCAGAAAATAGAGGTGGGGTCAGCTGCAACGTAGGGGTGTACATCAAATAATCAAATGTTTTATAAAGGATAACAAAAAAATGCAGCTTGTAAGACTGTATTATCTCAAGTCCCCATTTTAAAAGAACAAAATTATTCCTCAAATCAATATCAACTACAGTGTAACAGCTTTAGATTAAACCAAGTTAACACCATAAAATATATTTCCTAAGTACTCCCTTTTCATACCGGTATAAATTTATCACCTCTTTCTTATTATATCTAAGGATATCTGTTTCATTATTTGTATTGATTGAACTCTAATTTATAATTTATTACAACACTCTGAAAACAGATGTGCATATCAAGGAGATATGTTTACTCTTTGTGAGGTATTATCATCTGTTACTCGACTTTCAAGTGTATATCAAGTATACTGATAAAATTTTTGGTCACTCGGTGTTATCGAATTCATTCAGAACGTAACAGGTTTTTTTTTGTTTTTGTAAATTAAATTCGTCACTCTATTCTTTATAATTATTTACTTTTGATGTGATCTGATCGTGACTATGCAAACAAGGTCAGGTATTGGTTGACCGAGGCGGAAGGCCGAGGTTAACCATACCATACAAGGTCTGTACAGGCACGAGTAGACCAAATTAAGAAGTCAATCACCGTTTTATTAAATAATCAGGAATTTTACAACATTTTCAAACTTAATATCTTGTCTCCAATAAATATCAACACTCATAAAATAGTTTAAGGTGAAACAATACATAGTTACATTTTCACAATTTAACAACTGTTTTAACGAGGTTTGTCCCTGAGCTTTTGAGCAGATTTTTGTCTTGACTTCTATTTAAAAAAATTCTGCATGATGTTTTAGTTCTACAATAAATTTGGACTGTACAATGCTAATTATGTTCCCCAAACGAAGTTTGGGAACATATTGTTTTTACTCTGTTTCTTATTATTATTATTATTATTATTATTATTCTTTTTTTCTACTTTCTTCTCCGGTACTTTTTTGTCCGGGAGTGTTCTTATAGAACCACTCATCCGATTGACATGAAACCTTTTTAGGGTTAATAGGCATGTTGTGTAGGTGTTCGGAACGAAGGTCATTTTGCGCGCACGTGCATGCACTTGCGCGCGCGTGCAATGAGTGAAATGACTGATATACTTGATGAAGCCGTAACTTTTATATTTCTTGATGAATTGTTTTGAAACTCAAAATATAATGATATATTAGAATTCTAGACAAGATGACATGGTCAAATTAGCGTGAACTCACGCGCATGCACGTGCGCTCTTCTCTGATTGGCTGATACAAAAATCTCAATAATTTCCTTGTCTTTTGACAAAATGCTTTGAAATTTAGAATATAAGTAGATATTATAAGGTGCTACAACATGTTATATAGGAAATTTCTTGAAAACACGCGCATCCAGGTGTGGTACAATCTGATTGGTTGAAACTTTAAATGTCTATAACTCCCTTGGTTTTCAACAAAACAGGATGAAATTTACGACATAGATAGGCACATGGAGCTCCTACATTATGATACTATCAAAATTGAATGCAAGGCCATGCATGCGCGTATGCTGAATTCTGATAGGCTAATACTTAAAGGGTTACATCTCTCTTATTTTTCAATGAGATTCTTTAATATTTAACACAAATTCATGGATTGTGAGACACTATAAGAAAATTAATGTGAAAAATGTAGAAAACATCTGCAAGCACATGCGCTGAAATTTGATTGGCTAATACCCATATGGCTATATCGGAGTAGTTTTCCAATGAAATACCCTTAAAAATAAAGTGTCCATCTATATTACAAAAGTATTGTCTAATTTATTGAAGCTTGTAGGGAATGGGGCATCATAAGGGATTGGGGAGCCGTTTGGGGAACATCTGTAACGGTTCCCGTTACAATTAGCACTAGTTAAACTATATTCAATTAAACCCCCATAATCAAATTCCATACCGAAAGCATTAAGAGAGGAACTATAGTTTGTGGCGGAGGTTTTTTTTAGAAGAAAATGATCAATTTTTCTCTTTTGAAATATTTACAGTATTGTTAAGTTTGGATTACTCTTTTTACATGCAGCCTGCACGCAGAGTTATTTTGTGCAGTGAAATGTTTTATGCTGGTCCTAAATGATATATTAAATTAACCCTCATGAATTCCATTATCATATTGGACAGATAAAGCAAATATATTGTAAAAGTCCTGGGAAAAAATAGCCCACTTTAGGCCCAAAATTAACACGATTTTAATTTATATCTAAAACTAAACATCACAGACTCCCATTTTTAATTTTCTTTTCTGAATATACAAGATAATTTTAATCATTCTGCTTAAATTCAGAAAAAAAAGTCATTACTTTCAAATGAATTTATTGCTTGTTAAATTTTTAATGCCAGAAAAATGACATTTTTTGAGTGCAAAAGGTCAAATATTGACTATGTGACGTAATTTGAAATTTTTTTGTTGTAACAAATTTAAAAGAGACTATTCAAGATGAAAAAAGACTGTGTTTGTTCCCATAATTTATTTGGGTAAAAAATATTAGAGGAAAAACTTTGAAACATTTATTTATGTGTTAGACGTAATTAGTGCAAAAAAGTCATATTAAATGCTCCGTAGCGCCAGAAGAAGCGCATTGACCCCCATTTTCGGTTTTAATTTAAAATTAAGCTATATGTATGGATTTCAAAAATATACTTGATAAAAAATTCTCAATACTTTTGATAACAGGATCCAACCTCCTTAAAGTAGAAATCATATCATAAACCAATACATACTCAACTTATTACCGATAAATGAGTTTAGTGTCTTTAATACTGGCGTCTATGTTTACATTCGCAACGACACATGTTTCATGACTTGATCGGTCGAAAAAAAAAATGTAGGCAAATATATGGTTGGTCAAGAGGGAAAGCCCAAATATCTATTTTCAGGTGCCCAAAATACAAGCAAATGTATATAATGAAAATTAATGCAAGGTGATGAAATGTCACAAATCAAAATGTTTTTACGAAGTTCTTCGTTTGAAGCAGTTTCACTCTTTACAGAAAAAAAAATCTGAAATTGGACATCAAACAGTATACATTAACTAGAGCCGAGCTCGTTGCAATGCAACGAATAGGTCTTCCGTCGGAGCAGACAGAACATAGCGACCTTGAGTCAAGGTCATGCAACATTTTAAGGTTATAAACAATCCTGTAAGGGGCATCAACTTGCAATGTTTCAACAGTAGAAAGACAGTAAAAGAATGTAAAATTCCCCTGTCAGTGAACTTGAACTTGTCCAAATAACCTTGCATCAAGCCATGACACATTCTGCAGCTGGTTAAGAGCAAACACCATCTGTATGTCACCGACATAAAAAATTCTCAGTCACGCATTCTTTCAGACTATTCATCCAAAACATCATATTCTAAGTGACCTCGAATTTAAGTCAAGGCCATTACACACTCTGGATGATATATTTTTCATCCTTTCAGTGAAATGCAAATGCATGCAATTTTTTCTATTACAAAATTATAGACCTTTTTGTTTGTTTGTATGTTGTTTAACGTCCCTCTCGAGAATTTTTCAATCATATGGAGACGCCACCATTTGCCAATGGAGATCTGCAAATTTTGACCTATACCCGGCACTCATGGCCATTGAAGAGTGAGGGATCTTTTTCGTGCTAGCACCTACTGTCGGACGGGACCACAGTTTATACAGTCTCATCTGAAGGATCGGTCTCTGTGTCCCACAGTGGGATTCGAACCTGCGACGTAAGGATCAACTCCTTAATCCACGACTCTAGAGCAGACATTCTTAC